TAATATGGATGAATAGAATTCATATATACTCCAAAATACCAAAAATTGCCATATGGGATTATATAAAACGAACAACATATAATCTAACACACGTGAAATTGGGACGTTATACATATGTATTTGTACATAGGGGAATATGTAACTAATATTTCTGTTTCATAAAATTGAAGATCGAATTTACGACGCCATGACTGTGAGAAAAAAAATAAAAAAATAAATTGTCCAAATTGTTTATATGAAAATGTTTTATTCCATCCTACAAATAATTATTCACGCAGCTATCTTCCAAAGTTTTGTCTATTCAATATTATTTGTAACGAGAGCTCTCACGTTGATCTACACACATACACACACCCATCTGAATGCGTGGGTGTGTGGTGTTCAAGGCCGAAAAGGCTTAAGTAGGCATGCCCTTAGGAGCAGGTATGAATTCTCCCATTCAACAATAGTAGTTAGAATCATTGTTTTGAAACTCAAATCGGCCACTACAAAATATATTATCATATTTCAGAAGGAAAATCCAACAATATATTTCAATGGAGATTTCAATCGTATAGCTTCCGTTGGAAAGAGTGTTTTGTTAAAATTTTAGGCGAAATTTTATGATTGTAACGACCATTTTTTCAACATTTTATTACTCTAGTATGTCTTAATTAACTAGCAATAAGTAAAGATTGTAACAGGACAATTAACAACTAATTGCATTGCATGTTTGATGCCGATATTATTATTATTATTATTATTATTATTATTATTATTATTATTATTATTATTATTATTATTATTATTATTATTATTATTAATAGTTAGTAGCTTGGTGGACAAGATTGCTTTTAGGGTTGTAATGTCTTATTTAAAGACATTTTGTCTTTGTTATCTGGGAGTTGATTTTGAATGAAAAAAATATATTGTTGAGTTTTACGTGTTTTACGAGAGAGTATCTCGTTTACTCGTTTTATCCTTCTCACTCGTATGTTTCCCTACATCAGTTGGTATCAGCAGTCAGTACGATTCGCGATGCCGCCGGGACGACAAGATGCCGCAAACGAACAACGTGATGCAACATTCAACGATCGGTTTCAACAGGTTGACTACTGATTTCAAGAGTTAGACGTGCGTTTTACGGATTGGTTTGCCGATCTTTCGACGGGGATCGAGGATTCGCATTTGACGCTTAACAACGTGGTTGTTTCGGAATTGCAAACGAACCGCGATGGAGCTGTGGGCCGTGCTTTCGTGGGGGAGACAGAGGCGGTTATGGGGGAAACAACCATGTCGGGGCACCCCGGCAGTGGTCCCCGCCATCTCTGAACGGCTTCGTGGACGGCTACGATCAACGCGACGACAAAGGCAGGCGCGAGGAGGCTGTCTTCGCCGTCGGATATCGGGCCCGACGCGATTGGGTACATGATCACGAATATGGTCCATGGGAGGGCCCGTTTCGCGTGGACATTCCCGATTTGGATGGAGAACAACATGACGGACCATTGTACGATGGTCCGCCGATTTTCGATGAGGAGCCTCCGAGGCCATAGGATGAAGTTGTAATTGTTGCTATTAATACCATTGAATTTGATGTGATTCTTGGTGGCCGCATTGTGCAGTATAGAGAATTACATGGGCACGAGTTTGACACAGTTTTGTCATATTTTAATTCGTGTTTCATACCTCATGAAGGTGGTGTTGATTTTTTTAGTTTTATGATGCCCGGGGGTGTTTGGGTTGGAAGTAAGGGTCCTATGTTGTGTGGGTCGGCTAGGGTGGACGTTGGGAGACATTTAATTTTCGTGATCGATAGGGGGAAACGCCGGGCGATGATTGGCATGCATGGGTACGACTCCGGTGTCGGCATGTTTGGTCTGGCTTCGAGGGCGAAGCCTTCCGAACCGGGGGAGGATGATGCGGATATTATTATTATTATTATTATTATTATTATTATTATTATTATTATTATTAATAGTTAGTAGCTTGGTGGACAAGATTGCTTTTAGGGTTGTAGTGTCTTATTTAAAGACTTTTTGTCTTTGTTATCTGAGAGTTGATTTTGAATGAAAAAAATATATTGTTGAGTTTCACGTGTTTTACGAGAGTTACTCGTTTTATCCTTCCCACTCGTACGTTTCCCTACATCAATGTTCTAATTAATAAGTTAACTTAAAAGTAATCACATAGTTACTACTATTAATCATCATCAACGTAACTATCGGTTAATATATTCATTGTAATTATGAGTTATCTGCTTTACCTAATTAATGCTAATAATTATTGGCTATCAACCTCACGTACGTACCCTTAACCATATGTTATGAGATATGATGATAAATTAGATCATGATATTGACAATATTATTATTAATAATGAACAACTAGATCGATATTGTACGACTTCGAATATTTATTTTATTTACACATAATCACTGGATAAATTAATTAACTTCAAATGTAAACAAAAAAAAAAAAATTTAAAATAAAATAAAAATACCAAAATTTGGTGACCAAATTGTGTTATAATTAGAGGGGACCAATTACTGATCGATATCATTTTCTTTTAATTAAACCTTAGAACGAGACACAACATTTATTTATTATATCTACAATGAGAAGGACAACATAAACAACAAATGAAACCTCAAATCATTGTGATGTCATAGTAACAATATTTAACAAGTATTAATTAATTGATGTTAATTAATTTATATTTTCGTACCTTAATTATATAATTAATAGATCTCAATTAAAAAAAAAAGTGTTGTTTTCATTTTCAGTTTCCTTTTCAACAATGTATAAAAATTCAAATTATTGGTAGCGAACAAATTGAGGAGTTACTTAAAATATTGTTTAAGTCCATTTTGATTTATACATTTCAACTTACGAAAGGACAATTAATATGAATTGTCTCAACGTAAAAAAAAAAAACTAGTATTTTCATTTGAATGTGTTATATACTGTATGTATCATCACGTTTTGGTTTATTACGAGGACCAAGTGATGATGATATTGCTACGTTATCAATTGGTTATAGTTTTATAATGGAATAAAGACAAGTGATCAACTATCAAACTCTTTCTGACCATTATATTAATCACATCATCAATAATGTTTGGCCCGTTACGAGCCAACAACCAATTATACAGCTCCATGTGGGGTTGTCTCATATGACTCTAATATGGAACAGCCCCACATGAAGCTGTCCCATTGGTTGTTGGCTCTGTTAGGGAGCCAACAATTGGCTCCCTAGCATTATTAATCACATCATTACGATATCAATTACATTATTGACCGTTTGCAACAATCAAAATATTTATAATATACAAATTTTAATACATTATTGAATAATTATAATATATCGTAACAAAGTAAATAAAAATAACAATATTAATACATTATCCTATTATTAATTTCTCATTATTGAATAGTTAGCACCAACGAGAAAGAGCCTTGGAAACCTGGTGTCCATATGAATGCGTACATTACATATCATGGCAATTGATCGTGGGCAAAATTGTTCGGCCCACTGTGTAGAGACCAAGTCCAACAACCCAGATTATATTGTTCAGCCCCATTAATTTACTGGATTGCTATTTACCGCCCCCCTATTACTAGTCACCGCCCCCCCCCAATTACGAAAATACCCTTTACTTTATTTTTTAACTCTCTCTCTCTAAA